CTCTCTCACACTTACACACACACACTCAAAAAAGTATCGGACTTCCTGCTTAATTTTATATTCCGGGCAGAAAGATTTCAGTAATGGCGCGGCACTCTCTTCGCCCCTCCGCCGCTCATCGGAGCACACTTCACTTAATGGGTTGCTGACTTGGTAATTGCCGGTAGAGTACCACCTAATTTAGTCGTTCGTAACAAAGAAAGGGAAATATATTACCTCCTTTAAGTTAGGCCTCACCCTCGAGTTTAATGGAAATGCGAGTAAGAAAAATAAGCGCACACACCCTAGCGGACGCGGTAATGGGTGTTTGCCTATGAATACAAATGCACCGAATATTTCGCAAGTGCGTCTCACATTCCTCGTGTGAAAATCACAGTGGCGTAACTAACGACTCCGCGGACTCCGCGGGAGATCCCGGAGAGACCTCCGCCCCGTCCTCGAAAAAGATTAGGAGGAGAGAAGAAAGGAAGGAATATGTCGCGGAAAACGCCCACATAAAGGTTACTATTCTTTCATATAAAAACTTGCTTATCGAAATTCCACGAGTTCTCTCGTCTAGTGTTCGGAATATTCTCGCGCCCCGCGAGAATTCCACCTGTGAATCGTCGTATTATTTTGTACATATTATTTACAATTACGCACGGAGAAAGAAGATTGGTCGAATTAACGTGGCAATGAACGAACCAAACGCCTTTTGATCGAGGGAAACCGAATTTCTGATTCCTATGAATTCAAAATAATCAAATTCGGTTATGAAAACCAGAAATTCTGTTTCCTTCTCCTTAAAGCGGAACGCAAAAGATTTAGCCTGACCACGTGAATGATTTATCAATTTCCCCGCATCTTCTCCTTCCACTCTATCTCCTCCCCTTTCTGTCCGGTATATGTTAACATTGAATCACGTGAATCATTAATGCGTGCGCGCACGCATACGTATAAACGATTCTGCATTTCAAATCTAACGTGCGCTCGTGATACACCGCAACCACCCTTATCGTGTCCATTGATAATATACTTTCCTTCCGCTACACGCACACCGCAAATTTCGAGATTTCATTAACACTCGACGTTCGCGTTGCGACTTTCCTACCGGAACAAGACGCGTACGCCCAATTCTTTTTGTTACAGTGCAACACAAATACGGCGAATACGGCTGATGCGATACATGCGTTTGATATTTAAATAACCCGGAAATTATTTGAGCTTTGAGAGATCATAGTGATATATGAGATTCGAAGAGAATCTTCAATTTTGTTTTTGATAGTGTGAAATATTATCATATGTTGACATATTTTGTGCTAAAAGTTAAGAAGAGAAATAAAACGAGAGATAACGAAGCGAAAAATTCAAAATAGAGAAAGAGAAAACGTATTATAAACGCGTTATAAATGTATATGATTAAAAAGCGTTGCCGGAAAAATGAAATATTATTATAAATTAATTATGTATATATTAAATAAATAAATAAATAATAATAATAACCCAAAAAATTATATCACGAAACGAGACCAAATGGAATCATTCCTCATATTTCCTCATATTTAAAGAGATTTTCCACTGGTAGCGAGTTCAAGAAATCGAAATTTTTTTCCATATTTTCTGAAAAATCGAATTTTAAATGAGATGATGTACGGTTCCTAAAGCAAGCTCATAGTGCGCTGTTCCTTCTTACTATAAAGCCGGTGTGCATTATTTCGCAAACGCGTTGTTTCCTTATTTACGAAGAATGCATCGGGGCGGCGTGTATTACGCGCCAAGTCATCTTCGGCTTAACGCGTATTTCATGTTCTGTCGTAACGACGTTAAGCCCTCACACCGGTCGCGCTTTCGACTGTTCATACCGGGTAATCCCGGGCCTGACTGGGCGAGAAATATAGCGCCTCTTGAAAAGCGCAATGAATAACCACCGTGCAGTTACAGCCGGCTCTGTTTAGCATTCCCCCGGCCGATCTGTGCGGACAGTCGTAGACGCGACAAGTGCCACCCGGTGACAAGTGTAACGATCTTTTTAGTATCGGTTACGTTTTACCACGTCAAATGCCGCGGTAGTAACTGGCACGTGACACCACCGCCGCGTCTCGTCAAGTTACGTGTAAAATATACATTGATTGCGATCAAAAAATTGCTTGCACGATCGATAGCAGGAATAAAGTGAAGAGAAAAAACGCGTATGCGTCTCGAATTAAATTTACTTTTACCATATCTTGAAAAAGTGAAAAAATCAAGATCCAAAAATACCAGGCACGCGTTTAAGCACACATAAATTTCCAAAAACACGGATTTTCCTTCTATATCTGTAGAATATTTTAACGTAATTAAAGTATTCGAATATAAATAAATTCCTTCATGGAGAAAATATTTTACGGTAATTTTTTTTTACAGAAATATTTTACTGTATCTTTAATAATTCGACTCCACTGAGCTTTGTGCGCAGCGACGGAGATCAGCGCGGCAATCAGCGTGTTGACATCATGTTACAGCGTTAATTAAAATCATTCTTTTGCGATAATTTAGTCAATTGGCTGACAAACTCAGCGAGCATGAAAATAGAACGCTAAGCGACGAAAGTTGATGAATGTGTATTAGCATCTCTGCAGAAGCCCACGTCCGCAAACGTAGAGCGCACTGCGAAAATTAACAGTCAACAACGCGGAAAATTTCCATTATTTTTTACGAGATTGTAAATCTTCTTATGAGCAGGAGGTCCGATAAATTCGCGTGCAAACACGATAAATCTTCGAACGGAGATCTATCCTTCGCTAAACTCGCAGCTTCCATCCGCCGTGTACAATTCCTTCGGCTTCCGGAAATTGACTAAGAAGTTCGGGGGAGGCAGCAGTCTTTGTAATCACTTTGCCGTGCGCGCGCGAGAGAGAGAGAAAGAGAGAGAGAGAGAGAACACAGGCAAATTTTAGATAATTATAGCACCCCACCCCATCCAACGTTATAAGCTTACCGCCTTAATCCTCGCTTACGACTGTAAGTCCCGCTTTAACTTCGGAACTGGAAAACGCGTAAATCAAGTATTACGTAGAGATTACATTTTGTTCACGCATTAACTATGCATCCAACATTCGCCGCGAAACTCTGCGAGTTACGTATGATTTTCGAGGCAACTTCGTAGCGCTCGTTAACGCAAAAACAATTTATCTTCGCAAAGTGGAAAATGTAGCTCCCTATGAAATTACGCGGCCGAATCTTAGCGAATGTTCACAACTGACCGAAACGCTAAAAACAGCAGGCTGCTTTTTCTTCATCCGATTAAAAATTTAAGAGATACTTAAATAATCATTGAACTGTTACGTCCTGGAAGAGGATGTATGCAACAAACATCGCTTAATCGCGCACTCGCGAGGCCTAAACGTACTGGCAGGTCTGCGGATCAGGTCAAGGTACCCAGGATGTAACAAAATTACGTGCCTTACGTGAAGGCGGAAAAGATGAAAGACGCGTTGGGAAACACAAAGGGCGCGTTTAACGGCGAGCCATCGTAATCTTATCCTTTTTGCAATAGCGCTTGCCCGAAGTCCGTCTGCTTCCCAATCATATAAAAAAAAGGGAATTCGTAGTTCTCGAGGTACCCAGGACGTAATAGAATCTCTGCATAAATTTATTAGACTCTAGCGTGAATTCATCCCAACTACGCCGCACATTTGTATGTTATTCAACGATATGTTATTCAACGAAAGTTCTCTCCGTGTATCTTCAAAAAGGACAAGCTGCGCACAAATACTTATTTCGCTCGCTGTAAACATCGCGAAACTCTGCGAGCTACGTAGAATTTTCGAGGCAACTTCGTAGCGCCCGTTAACGCAAAAACAATTTATCTCCGCAAAGTGGAAAATGTAGCTCCTCACGAAATCATGCGGCCGAATCTTTGGAAACGGCGGTTCGACGGCAAAAATTGCGTGTTTAGCTGCATAATGGATTGTTTCATGTTTATTAGTTTTTTTCTTTTTGTTATTCGTCCCTTTGAACGCAAATGTCTATTGCAAAACGATCAAATTTGTCGTAATCTCTTCCAGCTTTTCACTGTTGTTGTTTATAATTGTCATTTATGTTGTTCATTATTATATGATATATTATTATTTACTGATGCATTTTTATGCAAGCGGAACGTCGCATTACGTTGCCTCCAACGAGGATTCAAAATTCCGAATATATTTGCTTATTATAATAAGGTAAAACATCTACACATGACATTTTTACAATAATCAATAACGACTAAATTCCAACCTCTGCGTTCAACTTGCGTCGGTTGTTATTGGCTTGTTTTTTTTTCACTAGATTGAAAATTTAAGAGAAACTTCAGTAATCATTGATTTTATCAATTTAAAATTAAATTTTAACATGAATGCATCCCAATCATGCAATACGATATGTTATTCAACGAAAGTCCTCTCATTTTGATATGTTTTTCAAAGAGACAAGGTGTACGCAAATATTTCGCTCACTGTAAACATCACGAGATAACAGATCTCTGAAATATATTCACTGTATATCTGCCCCGATGCATGCGATTTTGTTGCGCGTCTCTGCGGCCTACGGATTCCCTACACTTACCGAAAATGATTAAAAAGAGCGCGAGAACCTCTGATAATCCGCCTATCGATAGCAGCGCGTCTGTATCGGCGAATAAAATTCCTCCCGGCATAATCGCGCGTTATCGGACCGTGGCGGAAATATTTTCTACAAGATTACCTCGCGAAATTTTAGGAAACCGACTGCCGGTGCTTTCAAAGGATGCATCCGTGATACCCGATATATGCTATCCTCGCGGATGCAAGAATGCCCGCCTGAATGCACAATTCCGTATACAGCCAGCGGAAACGAATCGAGGCGCACTTTCGGTGGCCGTGTTAGCATCCTCGATATCGATCGCCACACAAGTCGACGATGATTACGATTTCCCGGATCTCATATGAAAAATTTCTTCTTCTTTTTTTCTTATAAAAAATTTTATTGTATTTTACAAATTTATTTATATTTTAACACGCACGCGCAGCAGAGTTGTTCGGTATAATTAATTAAAATATTATTTCATTTCCTGCAACGTTTTCTAATCTTATATACCCGAGGTATTCTTACTTACAGAATTTTAGGTATAAATATGAACATAACGATACTACATTATTTTACACTATATACAAATATTTGCAATCTTGTTTCTCACTTTCAAGTCAATGGTTAATATCAAAATAAACAGTTACACAATCACATCATCAAGATGCCCACCACAATCTCACGCTATTGTCTCTACGCATATTTTCGACATGACATTGTCTCTGTCCTGAACTAGTTGCCAGTATAGGTAAACTTCTGTGTAGGCTTACTCCGTTTATACAATCTCTCGATAGTTCTATTTTACATTTCGGATTTAAGTTTTCATTGTTATCTGCCGTAATATCGTCTGAAAATTCCCATACGGTGATAGTCCCATCAGTGCCGCCTACAAAAAATAGATAATATTAATGAAGTACGTTACATTATATACTTATTATTTCGCTATATATATCTTATGCTAAAAACTTACCAGAAACTATTTGTTTATCGTCAGGTGTAATTGCAAAGTAGATTCTTTGATTGGTATCAGATTGCCTTCCTTTTAGGCAATAAAGAAGAGTCCCGGGGTTACGGAGGTCCCAACACAAGAATTCACTGCCTTTCCGAACGACTGAGTACAGTTTTGTTCCACAAGAGCTGAATTCGACTTGTGTTACACCACAACCAGTTTCAAAAGTGCATATTGGTCCATCTTTGTACAAACCTTTAAGTGTAGAAAAGGAATGACACTAAAATCACAGCTGAAATAAGCATAACTAAAACCTATGAAATATTATCAAGATGCGTACCGATACATTTAGAATACGAGCCAAAAGCGACAAGGCCTGGCATAATTGGATTTTCACGAATGCATGAAACCAATCCAATCATATTTGGGAAATCGTGCTTAAAAAAGATATCGTGTGTTTGTCTTCCAGGACGATTCGTGTCAAACGTTCTCACAGCATTTTTGAAGCCACACCATACCTCACTTCCTACATTCACAAACCGAGTACTGAGAGATGCTTCTATTTCGTCAACTCTGAAAAGCGAAAGTGTCCAAATAAGAAGATGAGAATAGACAAGAATCTCAGTCTTACGGATACTACTGACTGATTGTATGCACGATATGTCGCGCGTAATTCCCCTGTAATTGCATCCCACAAGTGAACAGGATTATCTTTACTGGTACTCAGAAAGCAACATGTTGAAGCATCCCATGCACTCATAAAGGGAAACCAACAAGTGTCATATATAAGACCTCCTTCTTTAACTGTTAGAGCAGATGCAAAATTAGTCCACGCAAAGTCAGACGGTATTTTTCCAGAGTACAATTCTCTAGGAAGTTCGTAAATACGCATTCTACAATCATCTGATGGTACGAGTAAGCATGTTCCATCTGGAGACCACTGGCATCCTTTTGTAAAATTTTCATACAAATCTATAGGCTGATATTCCTCGGTAGCTACATATAATAGTTTCGGTGCAATAGACCAATTATATTGGAAATAGGAAGAATTTGTTGATTCTCTATCTTCCAAATTCATATTTTTCGACTCTGTAGTATTTAGAGCCGCATCATTGTTTGTTATTTCATGTATCTCAGAACTTTCTGCTTCTTTTGACTCTCCTGAATGAACCTGTAATGAATGATCAAATATGAATTTATATTAGATTTATATTCAATTCTTTTTAATTTCTCCTTTGTAATACATGAATATAGAATGTTGCTTAAATATTACCTATTACTTACATTAGATTGTGAAGGAATTTGAAAATCAATATTGTTTGAGGCTGGAACAATGTTTAATTCCAAGGAAGTTTCATTCGTCATATCCGAAGAGTCTTTAGTCTGTGAGAATTCATCTCCTTGTTGCCTTTGATTTTCATAAATTATCGTTTTTATATCATTTCTGTTTAAAATTTCTTCTTCATGTACTGTTGGTCTCGACAAACGTGACTTTACGTTGCAATCCATTTCCATTGTTCACTGTACAAATATACACTTCCTTTTTCAGAGATTATATCGTTGATTTCTTTATGCAAATGTCAAGTACTTGCGAATTCGAAGCAGTCTTTGATTTTTAGAGATTATTTTCTTCACATGCTGAGTAAACTCGGGAGACGGTTTCAAAACAAGCTCAGGTTATGCTGGATTAGTTCACATGTGTACAACGCGTAATAGAGGCAACTCACACGATGGGCGTTTTGTGTTGATCACATGCGAGCTGGTAAATAACTAGAAATACACTATATAGGAAGCAGCGTTTCTATGTTGATATTCTAGGTATTAGTTTGAGCATCGGACTCACGAGATGGCACTTGGAGCTACTTTTGCAACAAATACACTTTGTAGAACCTTATTCTGTATAAAATTCTCTTTGTCTTACAGGATATGGTATAGCTCAATATTATCACTGTTTAATAACTTCTCTGCCGTAAATTTTATGTCACATTAATAAAAATGACAACTGTAGAGAAATATTGTTTTACAAAAAAATATATGACATACTTTATCGCAAATCTCTATATGTCTATCTATAGAACGTTAGGATAATTGTAAATTGTAAAATTAATACTGCATTATTTATACAATATTAAAGTAATTATATCGGATTGATTACTGACGGCCGATAATGTCAGTGCTCTTCAATTGCCTCCGGATCTTCCGGGACACCCTTGAGGATCACAAAAATTTATTCAAGAACCAGCTGTTTTTAATGTATCATCGATGTTTCATCGGAAAATGCATATGATCATAGTAGTATTAATTTCATAATTTATTAGTATCTAGAAATTTCATAAATATGCATACATGCATCTATAATAGTATTTAACAATAATAATATTATTATCATTGTTATTATGTATCATTCTAAAACTGCATTATATGCCATATTATCCTTCAAAATCCGCGCGCTGCAAATCGATGTCAAACATATCGATACTTCCAAACCGCAACCGTTGTATATGTTCACTTCAATACGATCACTTTCGGAACATGGCGCGCGGTGGACATTCGAACGGTTATTTTCTATTTTCCGCGATTTTAATTCCTTCTAAAATGATATCACGCATGAATCACCGTCGTTGGGAGTACCGCGAGGTAAGTGTCATACATTTATCACGGTAACATATCAACGAAAAGAGCTCTCGGAAGAAAATATCTCACGGGACAAACCGCTGTGAGACGGCGAGCGAAGCTCTGTGCGTTTATCAGGTTATGGTAGTTCAGAATTCCGATTGTTGCTTCTTCGCGCTTTCGACCTGCCGAAGAGCCGGAGTCTCGCGCGAAATTTCGTCGAAAATAAGCTTCACGCATTCATCGTAACGAAATACCACCCAGTCAGTCGCGAAAAATTGAACATCTCGCGAATCGTTGAAGCGCCGAGTGAAATATTCGGCACTCAATTCCTACATCAGATTGTTGACCTGACTCGATTTCTATTCCTTTTGGCTCGATTGCAGTTGGCATTAAAATCGTGTAACTCGATTATTTCTATCCAATTTTTTTTCAATGTTTTTTCAAAAATACGAAAAAGTTCATTTTGCGACATGTTATCGATCAACGGCCATATTTGCAATAAAATCTCACAAACATCTTGTTGATGATTTTGCGTGTAGCCTCGGGAAGTCCACGATTGACGCAAACGAGGTAGAATCTCTAACTTAATTTCTGGTTGCGAGAATGATGGTACAGGCGCCGATTATCTTTTGTTTGCACAAACGAGATATTCGCTCTAAATGACTAAATAGAAAAAAATAATGTAAACAAATAGGCAATTTAGAATCAAACGCTGAAAAATCCAGCCGAAAATGATCAATATCGACGAAATTTAATCTTCACTAGTTATATAAATCGTACGCTTCAGTCCTTTCTTTAAATCACCCTAAGCGAATTACAAAGTCGAAATATTAGGTTGGTGCGTATGAAATGTCGCATTCTCTTTACATGCGGACGTTTTCCTCCCTGTTTTCGTTATACTTTTGTATTTGGCATAACCTCATTCATACTCGTATTGTCCATTGCCAGAGACTCATTTCAACAAAATAGGTTTTCTCGAAGGTCTTCCCTTTTTTATTTCTTTTGAGTTTATTACCGATATGAATTCTGCCGACATTCGCGTCATTTTCTTATATGAGTACAAACTTGGTAATAGTGCTGCAAAAGCTGCACGCAACATAAACCAAGCGTTTGGGGAGAATACGGTTAACAATCGGAAAGTGCAGCGTTGGTTCGAAAAATTTCGGACTGGCGATTTTTCACTGCAAAATGAGCCGCGCGGAAGACCCAAAACGTCTGTGAATAATGATGACCTGAAGGCTCTAGTGGAAGCGGATCCAGCCGTATCCACGAGGGAACTTGCTATCAGGATGAAAGTTGACCATACAACGATATTGAGACACCAAATTGTACTCCCATCGCTTGTGAATCGGCATGGCCCGCTACTGCTCCATGACAACGCTCGGCCGCACACATCGCACAAAACAATTGCGAAACTGAACGAACTGGAATATGAAGTTTTGCAGCATCCACCATATTCACCGGATCTCTCGCCGACCGATTTTCATTTTTTCAAGCATTTAGAGCTGTTTTTAAGAGGCAAACACCATGAAAATGAAGACAGTCTAAAAAACTCGATATCAGAGTTTATTAATTCTAAAGACCAAAATTTTTTTAAGACAGGCATCTACGCTTTAAAATCTCGTTGGGAGAAGTGTATTGAAGCGAATGGAGCATACTTTGATTGAATAAACAGCTTTTGAAGAAAGATATACAGTTTTATACAATCACTTAAGAATCCGACATTTCATATGCACCAACCTAATACAATTGGCGAAGATTGAATTTAGTCTATATTTATTACTTTCACCTGAATTTCGGCGCTTGACTTTAAATTACATGTTTATTTACGTTATTTCTTCCATTGTAGTAAATATATATATTACAGTTTTAAAAGCTTGGAAAAAATCGGTTTTTCCATTTACCGCGTATTTCTTCGGTCTCTTCCCGAGGGGAAATTGAAGGAAATGGTTTTTCAATCATACTTAGGTACCAGAGTATCCTCTACATATAATATACAGAGGATACAGAGTATCTTCTACATACACTATAAAAAAAATTAAATATCTCGTCTATCTCTGGCGGAGTCGGCGATTGATGACGATCGCGGTTAGTCGCCGACGCGACGTCTAAATCAGCGGTACCGTCGGTTGCGTTGCCACTGCTAGAGCGCCGTGGGTGGGAGTCTCTGCGGCCCTCGAGAGAGCCGGAGTGAGTGAAGACTACCCGAAAGAACGGTGCTCCACTCAGTCTGTCCGCGGTCGTCCGTCAAGCATCCATCCGGCGCTCACTCCCTCCCGCTCGTCCTTGCCAGTCGCGTCTCGAGGGCCTCGTGGAACGCACATGTCGTCGGCTGCTCGTGCAGCTGCTACCGGCTAAACTCGGCCGTCCCCGTAATAACGTTAATATAGATTCACCGATCGTCGGTCCCGATATCGCGGTGTCGCGCGTGTGCACCCCATCCACCTCGAGGACTTCTCTGCGATCGGTTCTCATATATGAAAGTGACTCGACACGGTGACGGAGTGTTCGCAGTGCGTTGCTCATCGGTGACACGTCGATCCGGTGGATGAGATGCGGTTGACGAGGTTTCTCTGGTGCCTCATCGGCCTGCTCGCGGTGGAGCTGCCGATTTGGCACTTCGCCGACGGCTTCAACGTCGAGACGAAACACTACGCGGTGTATCGCAAGGAGGAGAGATCCATGTTCGGTTTCGCCGTGTCGGCTTATCGTGACAGATACGGCCGCGGATGGTGAGTCCTCTTTCTCATACACAAATTATCTGTCGTCGCTTGCTCGGCGACTCGCTCGATCACGTCGATTTGGTGGACGTCGTGTCGCCGGCAAACCGATCGCCGTCACTTCCGGACGCTTGGTAGATACGACGCGATATGTTCACGATGTTCACGATGTCTCGGGATATATGCTCGCGTGAACGCGCGAAATCGAAGTCCTGTCGCAACTGTGATCTGTGGATCGGTTTTGCGGTTGTATCAGAAAGTCGGTATCCTTGTCTAATTTCTAATCTACGTTTGTAAATTTCCTCGTCTAATCGCGCAAACGTCGCGGCAACGTCGAAAGTATCTGAGAAAGCACGCGGTCTCGCGATAACACGCGGACTGCGGTGAGAAATTAGCGATTACTCATGTCTCAGATTGAGAGTGTTACTCATCGGACTTCGGGGAAATTAACGTAATCCGAGAACACACGGGGAGATCCTGAGGATAAGGAAACATGGAAAGATATTGCGTCAGTACTAAAAAAAAAGTAACGCTTCCGATAAAAAACGAATCGCTCTTTTTATCTGCGAACTGACAGGCCGTTAGTTATATGTTTGACCCGCTGCACGATTAGCTACCTATTAACTCACCTGTCTGCTTTTTATGAAAAGCAACTCAACAACGACGAAATATCCTGAATCTGTTCAGTCTCGATATCTCGAGCGGAATATTTATGATGGTAACACATCTCGATAGATAATAGGATATTTTTCATTAACAAATCGTGGGAGAGAGTCACCTGTCGAGCTCTCGTCGGAGAATCCCGACTCGGAATGTCAGTGTTATTTTGACGGCTGTATCTCGGCTTCCGAGCGCATGAAAGATACGAATTCCGTCCAGCAAAACAAGACAGAATGCCTTTGTGTTTTATCGCGAGTATTCTAGTAACGAGCGATAGTCCCTCGGGGAAGTTCTGCTACGGTTACAATCCTTGGAAGCGCCATGCAATGGGAAATCTCGGCGGGCAGCGTCGTGCGTATTAAAACCGCGGGAAAATGCGACGGCAACGTGCATCTTCTTCGATGGCCGAATCTAATAGGCATTTTGCGTACGTATATGTTACGTGCGCACTAATATTTCCCGCAACGAAACCCTGTAACGAAGCGTCATTACGTTAACGACGTTGAAACATCGTCGCCGTCGTCGGCACGGCCTCGGGAAGTCTGCTCGCACGAGCCTTACGGGAGGTATCGTGGGCGATTTTATATTTAGGCAAGCTCGGTACGAGTTTTACGAGCGGTCGCGCGCGCGCCTTCAATTCACCGGGATTAACGCGCTCAATCGCCACTAATTTCCCGAAATAGACGGGACCCCGATTTGTCCAACAACAACGGATACCTGTGTATCTCAACCACACGGCACGAACCATCATTCGCGCGTGAATATGTCGCGAGCCGTTTTACGTGAAATCACGAGCATCATTTAGAGATTTCGCCGAGATAACTGTGATACGCAAAACAATCATGATTAACTCGAGACGTACCGAAGGATGTATTGCCCGTAAATCAAAATGAAAAAATCTTGAAAAAATTACGAATGGATCTACATCGCATTTAAAGGTGGTACAAAAAGTTTGACAGTAATTCAGAGCCTGGATCAAAAGTTATTCCACCTTAAAGGAGCTTGTAAGGTGAAATGATTTTGAGAAGAATTCGGTGAAATTTGCACTACGTATATATTAAATTGTTATTTAATTCATACATTGTTCGTGCAGTGAGAAAAATATTGACCATTCGAGAGCTGAGATATTTGTAACTAAAGTTGATACTTTTTTTTATACATGTTCCTTGAGATTAGCGTACTAATTTGAATTTCTATTTATAGTAAAATATGGCTCTGGTCAATACATCTTTAAGTTGTGTGTATGTTGCTAAGACGACATAAAATCGTAAGTTCTCCCGTGTGGAAATTTCGGTTCTAATCCAGCAAATTTCATCGAACTTGAACGATTAATAAAAAATCTCGAGATACAACATCACCAGGCCACTTTGTCGTCCATTCCACTTTGTCATGCGTGATATTCCATCGTTTTTCACTTCTCTGTTCGTAACGTTTCTCTTATTATTGCTGTCTTGTTCACATTATAGTGCTTATCAGTTTGAATCGGGCTTCCGTCGCGTTTCGGAAACGTTTCGGTGTGTCCACGTCGCGTGACGGACATTACACGATGTAGAATTAACCGGCGATTAAGTAATCGTCGTGACTGCGATGTATTACTTGCGTAGGCGGTCGTCGCTCCTGTGCTGCTCTGATTAATACTCTTGTAATCCGCGTGTTTGATCTGCTATCGCTGCGCGATGTTCTCCTTTCATGGTCTTCCTCAATGAGCAAGTTCACATTTGGGCGCTCGCGAGATCTTGATAGTCCGGACCTAAAAGAAATATGTACCGAAAAAGAAAATAGTATCGAAACAGTAACCGTTCACAGAAAACAAAAGATTTATTTCTTACATCTAAAAAACCACGACATCTTGGTAAATCTATATAGCCGTAATATGCGGACAGTCGGTTCTCCGTCTTACAATAACGAAGTCGGTAAAGTAAATTAGTAAATTAGTTTCACAAATTCAAATTGTTTAGGGATACAAAGTGATTCCGCCGCAATAATGAAGGTAACGTTTACAAAAATGAGTATTCTCTGTAAGCGGTTCGAAAATTGCTTCCACACGTAAATTCTTTGTCGCACGAGCGAATCTGCTTGGTTGTAACATTTAATAATTTTGTCCAGTGAGCTATAGATTTGCTGAATCAACCTGTTTCGTGTTCGATCACTCGTTATTAGGTATCCCAGGATCGTGAAATATTCTCACGTATTATCGGAACGCCAATAAGAAAGCGAAAATCTGGTTGTATAAAAAGACGAGTTTTAAGCGTATAACGATTTTAATGATATACGGACAAAGATTAAGCGCGAACTGGAAGAATCTTGTTTCGTAGAAGACCGAATCGAAATCCGACCTCCCGTTGCGGTCTCATGCATATGATTGGGAGCAGCGAGCTCTCTCGCATCCGATGCTACCTAATCTACGAACGCTCTAAGGTCCGCACAATGTGCCATTACCACCAGTGGCGTAATCTCTCCCCATATATCCTCGACCGTAAATATTCATGCGCGCCCGGTCTCATTTATCATTCCTAAAAAATGTAATGCGATTACAATCGCATGCAATCCCTGCAGCGCGAGCGGAACTCGCCGTGTGAATCTCGCGGGAAATTGGATTTCAAGCCAGTCCTCGGCCTCAATTTTTATGTAAAAGTCAACCAATCCCACTCGTTGTGATCTCACTCGCGGTCGATTCAAATCTCACCTCGTTATTTTCGACTGATATTATTTTTTTCTCGCTTCACGGAAACGAGAGGTATCAGAAACGTTGATTCATAGACTCCGTAATTCAATGCGTCTTTAAATGTTTGGTTCACAAATTTCTCATATCAGGTATTAGTAATTGGAACTCATTGTCCTCGACTGTACAAAAAACCTCCTTATCATTTAAGCCAATCATATTTTAGTATTAGTCCGGTTTGTAAAGCTCAGAGGCTCCCTCGTCATTTGCATCCCTTTATCAATCATCATACTTTAATTAACGTGTCACTTATTGCACACTTCCCTCAGACTGTATTCTCGCGTGACGACCGTCTGTACTTTATTCTCGTAATTATACTCGACTCTTGTTCCGAGAGATTTATCCCGGATCGGAATAAAGCAGATTCCGTTCTACTCTAAACATTTGGAACATGATGCATCCTGGGAACGGTGCGCCACGAAGAAGCCCAAAGTAAGGTGCAGAGAAATGTCAGCGCACAGCAGACACGTATCGTGTGATTCATCGTGCGACTGCATTCATGCCCGTGTCTTTAAGAGGTGAACTCAGTCACGACCGCCTGTGCACATACAGAAAAGTGTGAGGAAATAGCGGCGACCGAATCATGACGCGTCCCCTGAGTGTTTCGATGACTCGTTCTTTCTTTTCCTGAATTCGTCGATCGCACACGTCGAAAGTTGCGACCGTGCCGTGTACTAAATATAGAAATTATTTCACGACGCGAAGTCTCGGCAAACAAACGCCGATAAACCTCGTAACCATGAGCGTTCAAGGCGAAATGTCGGGAATGACGATATTGAATGCAGTTTCTCCGATCTGTTATTACGAGTCAAATTAACACTTCGGACACGAGATCACTCACGTAATTAGAGTGACGTTACGTGATTTACGGTCGATCGATTGAATCTAATTATGTCGCCGCATTCCGGATACGCATATAATATCTTTATCTCCTACATTGTATAATAAATCGTATATAATAAGCGTTTTGCAAAACAAGGTATTCAATGTCACGAGTCCCCGAATATCAGCAAATCTAATGAATCAATCGGTGGAGCAAATTTTGAGGGAGAATAACTCGCGTGCACAGTATTCTTAAATAATTCTTAAAGATTCTTAAATAATATCTATATTAGAAGATGGACGCGTGTCGCTGCTGTTAGAAAATCGACTGGCATTTTACAGGATAGAATTAAAGAGATGAGGAATTTTTGAAAGAGAGATGTTTCTACACTGAGTCTCGATGTGCGATTATCAATTGACCTTTTACCGCCGAAGGCATCGCGAAAGCTATCAGCGACATCGAGACTGTCCATGCGGAATGGTATGCAAATGATTTCACGACGTCCGTTCGACGAAATAAGCGTGTCGTTAATCGCGATACGCACAGTCAAGGCGAGACAACGGAATCAATGATGCTCGGGAGTAGCGGTGATTGAAATTACTAATTGACGCGTATCACAACAACGCGTCAGAGATATCTGGTCGTTCCTTCGCGGAGAGAAATTAGCTCTCCTTTGTGAGCTCTCCGTATCGCGCAAAGTGCTTCTCGTTAATATTCCAGGAAACGTAGTCTCCTTATCAGGCCGCTTCCACGTGATAAGTGCACGACACGGTTAATAGCGATTCGCAACGAACTCTCGTTTCGTAA